GCGTTCATTCTCCTCATGTTTATTTAATCTGTTATGTTTATTTAATCTGTTATGTTTATTTAATCTGTTATGTTTATTTAATCTGGGATTATCTGGGATTATCTATTCCTCCCGCAGGTACTATCAGGTCACCTGTACTTACCTTAGTAAAGTATTTAGGTTCTCTGCTGTAGGCTGGCGGCAGGTTACAGCTCTGTCTGTGTCCCTCCGCCAGGCCGGAACTACTTACCTGTTGGGCGCGCCCATTAAGTTAATAACGTGCAGCTGTGTGCGCGCTCCCGACACCCTGGATAGATGAAGAGGAGACAGACGCGCGTGATGGTGGATGAGTTTTTCTCCTGACTAGAAGTTTGTTTTGTTTTTACTCTGTTTATGGCGGATATGAGTTAATGATGCCTGATGAGGCCAAACTATTAATGATGCCTGATGAGGCCAAACTATTAATGATGCCTGATGAGGCCAAACTATTAATGATGCCTGATGAGGCCAAACTATTAATGATGCATTGATGGTGTGGATGAACACCGCCCCCTGCTGGAGGATGAAATTATACATTTGACTGAAAACTGATTTGATGACAGAAATGAAGTCATTCTGTGTTTCATGAGATTATCTGATTCCTTCTTTCATGTTGAAAAGATCTTTAATATTTTCAGATGAAAATAATGTGAACGTTTCAGTGAAAATGAGGATGAGGAGGATTGGGATTACAGGGATTATAATAATCTAAGAGTCCATTTGAAATCATTTTAAATTCAGACAAATGGAGTAATAACTGAGAGGAAGAAATGTTTGATGAAAATGATCCCAGGTGAGTGAAACCTTTCATCTGATCCATAATCTGCTCCATAATCTGCTCCATAATCTGATCCATAATCTGCTCCATAATCTGATCCATAATCTGATCCATAATCTGATCCATAATCTGATCCATAATCTGATCCATAATCTGATCCATAATCTGATCATAATCTGATCCATAATCTGATCCATAATCTGATCCATAATCTGATC